TAGGTAACAGCTGTCTGCCAAAACCTGCAGGTTGAGGTTAGGACAGCAGATGGCTGATGTAGTTTGAAGGCAAAGTTTAGTTTTGGAGGTGTCTAGAACAGACTATTGGTGGAGGATGGCACGGTCACTAGAGGCTCTAGGTGGAGATGTTTGTGTAGCTGTCTTCTAGAGTCTGCAGTTGGAGTTTGGGCAGCAGTTGGATGGTAAAAGTTGCTGGCAGAGGGTGGAGGCAGCAGATGGCTACTGGAGGCTGGAGGGAGAGGTTGGATTAGTGGCTTACTGAAAAAGGCCATAGGTGGAGGCTATACACTTAAGGTGGATGTTCTTATTGAACTAATACGATGTTTTTCATTTGAACTCTATTTCTTAGCTCTTTTTGAAGGTGGTATCTTCGGCTTTGGTTCTCCCAAAGTGTCGACATGGTAAAGCGGAGGATGGACTCCAACCCCGTAGGAGATGTCCACGTGGACACGTCCGTCTTCATTTGATGATGACTTGAACGAGGGACGATCCAGTCTCTCCCACAGCTTCTGCTTTATACAACCTCCCAGCTCTAAACTGTACGGACGAACCCGGCCACTCTTGTACCTGAGAGGAGGAAGAAACAGAAATCGATTCACCAACTTAAAAAGCTTAAATCTGAAAAAAAGAAATCAGTGATAGATATTAAATAGAAATTATTGAATAATATAATAATATTCTGAATGAAAAAGTCAAACATACCTCAGCATATCATCTACAACTTGATGGTAGGTCACTTCCACACAGAGTGGTTGAGGATCATCAGAGGGCCGTCGTGGTGCAGTGGAGCAGAGGAGGGCTGGGGGCCGGGGGCCACGTTGGAGACCACTGGCAGCTCAGCAGGTGGGATGGTGGACAGAGGCCTTGGGAACAAATTAAAGAACAACGGCATGTCAACGGCTCTAGCTCAGCCTATCATCAGTCGATTTCAGTCAATGAGCCCGCCTTCGACGTGTCAGAGTCTCAGGAAGGCGGGCGTCGAAGCGAGTGTTGATTGACAGAAGTTTCAGCGAGGAAAGTTGCAAGAAGTGCCGCGTATCCCCGAGCGTAAAATTCCATTCGCCCAAAGTCTGACCACCCACCCATGGTGGATTGACCCCCCTTCTACAGGAAACAGATCGGAAGCAGACAGGATGCAGTTGCCAACAATGATTGTAGCTTTGAACCGGATAATTTTCAATGTTATTGTCATCATTCTTCATGAAAGGTGACCAAAAACCAACGTTTTTTTCGGTGAAGGGCACTGTCATGGTACCGTTGGTCACTCACAGCTTTCTACTGGTTTCATGGAGAGAAAAACCGAAGGTATTTATGCGTTTTGTGTCGAATGCTAATGCTAAGCGATGTGCCAATTAGCCGTATAGCCGTTAGCTTCGTGGTGCAATATCGATGTGCAGTAAATATAACGCCGATTTTTGCACAGAAATTCATGCTTTTATGCCACATTTTCTCGTTGCTTATATTAGTATTCTATAGTTGTGTTTGGAGTGTGTAAAAAGTGACTTATATGATAGTGTTGCCCATACGTTGCTGTTTAATCCGGTATATAAAATGTACACATGTACAATTCTGGCTATCAAAATGAGCAATTTCTGGACGATATTTGAGAGCCCCCCTAAGCCCGAGAGCCCCCACATTTGGGGGCGTCGTGTGCAAGAGGTTTTAAGGAGCTCATAATGTCAAATGGTTTCATGTTTTAGTGCATATTCACACAAACAAATCTATGAAATCATCACTAGATGATAAGAAAATATGTCACATATCTGCTGGGAGGAAATTCAAGTACTTCAGAGTTGTACTCATGGCTACTCTTAAGTTCACAATACCCCTGTGGTATGGGAGCTGGGTGATATACATTTGTGATATGAATTACTTTATACATAAAAATATGAAATTATTATCATCAGTAGCTTGAGGCTGCCATTTTGAGGCAGCCTCGAAGGTAAAACACATAGAAAACACCGTAGACTTTCAAAGAGTTAAAATCTCACATTTTCCATGATGGAAGTTAGTTGTGTCGCTTTAAAAGCTCTTTGTGAGTCTTTAGTCGTTGTCAGGATGTAAGAAGTTCTCAGTAGGAGCCTTAATTTAGACGAAAATGTCGAGTGATGCTTGTGAAAAACTTTTCTTGACCGCTGGAGGTTTTGTTTTTGTTCAAACGATGATCTTCACGCCGTTTTTTTGTATCTAGTATCCTTTCCTTTTAGTTTATTAAATAATTGTCGTCATCACACAGCAGATCGATATGTCTCCACATTGAAAGAGGCGCTCTGCGGCCCAGCCTCGTAAACTTCATTAAAGAGGCCTATTCAATTCTCTTGAGAGGACAACATGATAGCTGACGATCTAACGGTAGTGACCTGACCGTAAAAACATCTGGCAGACAGCAGCCGTCCTCAGGATGAGTCCAGCTCCACCAGAGCTGTTGGGACATTTTGATTATACTGCAAAATATTCAAAAAAAAAATTAATATTACATCCTGTCGATTAATGTTGCTGCTTAAATGAAACGTTGTTCAATACTTGCAACAGAGACAACACTTTTACGTGTGCTATTTTGCCACACGTGCTACAGTATAATGACTCTAGTCGATGATGATGGTGCAGTGATGATATAGTAATGAAGGTAAACATGGGAAGCACAGGTGGTGCTATGACTGGGTGGTAACTGAGGCAAGGTCCACTGAAGGCTGTTTAATAACAATAAACCAAATGTCTCTTTATTTTTCAATTGCCATCATTTATTGCCTCATGATCAACACATGCTCACGCTTCCATGTAGGCATGTTTACCTAGTTATATACATGATGTATATAACTAGGTTGCAAATTAACCATGAACATCAAATATCTGTTACGGGAGTTCACGGGTAGGACCCAAACGCAAGACCACAGGAGACAGAGTCTGATGTAACAGATTTTATTTTGATGTGTGTGAAGGTGTGGAGCCCGTGGTCCGACACCAGAGGGCAGGCAGATCGACAGTGTGAGTCCCGTGGCTCAACACTGGAGGGGCTGGCAGCTTGACGGCGTGATGTCCCGTGGCTCGACACCAGATCGACGGTGTGAGTCCCGTGGCTTGACACCAGAGAGCTGGTAGCTTGACGGCGTGATGTCCCGTGGCTCGACACCGGAGAGCTGGCAGCTTGACGACGTGTGTAGTCCGTTAATACAACAGAGGGCAGAGCGGCGGTGTGTAGTCCGTTAACACCACGGAGGGCAGAGCGGCGGTGTGTAGCCCGTTAACACCACGGAGGGCAGAGCGGCGATGTGTAGTCCGTTAACACAAAGGAGGGCACGGGGGATTCCCGGACCGACGGACACCGGAGGCAGGCGCTTGAGGCAGAAGCTGCAACGGGGTTGAAGCGGGTGAAAGACGGTACGACCTGACAACCCCAGACTGCAGGACCAGAGTTTATATAGTGCCAGGGGAAGTGTTAATGGGACCTGAGTCTGGTCTGTCAGCCTGCAGGAGGTAATCGGCTGGAGTGGCTGCAGCTGTGTGGCCATGGAAGGTGTCTGGTCTGACAGGGATCCTGACACTATCAGATGAAATAAACAGCATTAAAACATCTGTATCAATAACCTAGACCAGCGGTTCCCAAACTTTTTAGGCCACGCACCCCCTTCTACATCCCGACCGGGTTCACGCACCCCCAATCCCCCACACCTTAAAAAAAAAGCAACAGAGCCTATTTATAGCCGCATAAAAATCGGACCAATGAGAGAACAGTTTGCTCGCGCGTGGCGTTTGTTTACAAGATAAAAAAGACAAAAAAGACAAAAAAACTTCCTGCACCGTGCCTTCAAAAAGGTAACGGATGTACACCAGAAGATTGGCCAGATTGGCCACATGTGTAGACTCGTCTACTTGCAGAGAGTAAAACTCCCTCTTCTTCACGCGACCGACTAATGTAGCCAGGATGTCTTAGGACAAAGCATCGATGCTGCGCGACACAGTGTTGTTGGACACCGGGATCATGTCCAACTTGTTTGCTTCTCTCTCTCCAATCATACATTCCACGATCTCTTTGGCAGCTGGCAAGCACATGTCTTCGGCGATTGTGTGCGGTAGCCCCTTTCTTGCTATTCTGTAACTGACCCGATATGAAGCCCGCAGTGCGTTTTTTGTAGACCCAACACATGAATGAGACTGCAGTTGTTTGGGGCTGTTTTGTAACTCCTCCAATTTCGATATAAAAAATGTAAGGGGCTTTTGACTTGCACTGGCATGTTTGGTGTTCAGGTGGCGACGTAAATAAGAGGGCTTCAGACAGCTGTTAGCTAGAACCTCACTGCACCGACTGCATGGAAGACTGGACTGCACCATTAGACCACCATTACATTTTTCCTCTCGCACACCCCCTAGAGGCAGCTCGCGCACCCTGGGGCACAACACTTTGGGAATCCCTGACCTAGACAATTAACAAAGACACAGGTAAATATGACTAAATCTATGGTTTAAATACACTTATACTGCCATCTACTGGTAGAAAGGGTAAACACTCTTACTCTGCGTCTCCTTTTACAGTCTATGCTCTGCCTTCACTCAAGGAACAGAATAGATATATAGATAGATAGATACTTTATTCATCCCCAGGGGGAACTTTTTTTTGGGGGGGGGGGGATACGGTGGAGAAATAAATATGTGCTAACAGCAACCACTCTGCACACACAAATTGTCTTTGATTAAACTATATTACGAACTGTATTGCATTAAACAATGCACTGATTAATCAAACAGTTGATTATTGCTGTACATGGATGAATGAATAGTAAACCACATGTAGTTAACTACTTTTGCTAACACACTCCCATCGGCCCCGATTTATTTATATTCATTCATTTATTTTTCTTCTAATATTACCCTGGTGGTATGCTTGCATCATGGACTGTAAATATGAATTGCTTTCATACGGTCATTCTATTGCCTTAACTTTTATTTTGAAATATTCTTACTTCCGGGTCAGCTGTCTTGCTTTGCGTCTCTCTTCAAAAGAAAAAAACAAAAGAGAAATTTACAAAAACCAAAATCGGCTCGTTATTTGACTTTGGTTCGCTCATGCTTTCGTTTTTGGATTCAGAAAACAAACGGCCGTGCTTTCTGCTTTTGGTTTAAAACAGAAAACGAAAAAACATGGTATTTCTGTATTTTCGATTAAACGATAAAACAAACTATCAAAACGTACACGGACCGTTGAGCCTGTTTTCTACTCCGTGAAGGCTTATAACGACTTAGTTACCGGTGCTCATCATCGGTCCTCTAGCGCCACCATGTTGTGTCGGTAAGTGCTGAATGTACAGCGTCCTGACAACAAGAGCCGGCTGACTGACAGTAGACTGGACAATACGCGCAGAGATCTCTCATATACATATATATTTATAAATATATATTTACACGCCTAAATATATACAAATGTCGGATGAAATGACGATGAGCTCAGTCTGAGAGGAAGCCGGCTATTCTTCGAGTTGTAAGTGAATTAAGCTCGCGCTCCCGTCTGCAGCGGGAGAGCGGGGCCGAGAGAGGAAGAGGAGGAGGAGAGAGGGAAACACAACAGGAAAACCCCGGAAAGAAGAGTTTCTTGGGGAAGCCTGTGTTTTTGGAGTAGGAGTGCGGGGAAGTTGCGGGACAGCCGCACTAACGGGACCCGAGGTGAGCTGCTGGAGCCGGTTTACAGCTACTTCTGTGAGCGACACGGTGTAATAACTCTGCCTGGATCCTATGGTTCTATGTTCATGTTATTAATAAACTGGCTGATGACCTCCAGACGGCAGGTGAGTGACCCAGTGAACATGGGGATTATGAGGGAGGGAGTGCTCTACATGAAGACCGTTGAGAGTTCTGTCAGTGGGCAGGGTTCTAAAGGGTTCTATACATTGTTCAGTGTTCTGGCCTCATCATAGTTAAGTATAGCTTAATGTCAAAATAGAGGGTTTATAATGTAAATATAGTTCATAATGTAAGACAAATTGTTTCCACATGAGACTACATTGTGTAGGCTAACATATAGAACTATAATGAACGCATCACACAATAAGATGGAAATGCGTTTAAACATGTTTGAAGACATGGTGACAGCAGCAGGACAGACTGCTCTAGCAATCCAGGCTCGTGAGTGCATGTGACCTGCAGGTTTATGTCGAGGTGTGTCTTCATACATATAATGAGAGTCGCTGCGGCTAGTTCTGCTCCAGGAACCTGCCCAGGGCAACGTCCACTGTCTCCCAGCAGCTGGACTGTTGCTGTGATGACAGCTGATGGTTCCTGCTATCCTACCAGTTAGGCTTCATGTACCAATACTTTGGTCTACACTTTAACTGAGACCATTGTTCAATGACTGTAGTCACACATGATCTCTTATTTGTTCTCGATCACAACCCTGAAAGCCTGCTGAGCGAAACAGGCTGCAATGGTTGTTACAATCCTGTATAGATGAGATGTTTTATTCAATTACAGCAGTGTTGTTAGTAAGTAGTAGTTTGGTGCAAGAGTAAAGGCCACGAGGTCAATACATACAAATAAAAGAATATTCCATCATTCCTTATTTTTTAATATCTTGCTTCACAGTCTCCTGCTATCTGCCCATGAGATTTTGAGATAGATGTGCGATGTACACATGTGTTCAAAGCTCAGGGAGTGACCAAAATAGTGGAAGATTCAGGGGGTCACAAAACACATTAGTATCAGTGAGCATGAATGTGGTCAGTGAGTTTCTCCGTCGTGTCTTGTGCTGAAGACCAACCAGAGAAAGGCTGAACCCAGTCAACCACACTGCAGAGGCTACACAATGCTAACAAGCTCACAGTGACGGCAACATGCGGATGTGTACCAGCTACAGTGTTGACTGTAAGCGTCTTACTAGGCTAACATTTGCTCAGGATGATTTGGTCATAAAGCAAAGTGTTGGTCTAATCAAAAGTTTGACTTTCTTATGTTGGCTGGAAAGGAAAAGTCAGAGGATCACCAAAGTCAGGAGTATTGATCCTCTGGGAACCATGAATATGTGCGGCCAATAGTTACTGTCTGTCAGTGGCAGATCTCTGGGAGATCATGGAGCAACGTGTTAGACGGCACTCTCTGCCAGTAGTAGCTGTTAACATACAGTATATTGTGTTGGCCTGACTGACAAAACTCGTTTCTCATTTACCAAGAGGATTAATCAGCTTTCAGTGACATATTGTGTAAGAACGCGGCGTCATCTTGTTTGTGTTTGGCTTTGGGCTTCAGCTGAATGCTTTGGTCACAGTGGGAGTCAGTAGATCACTTAGTGTGGACAATCAGAGGCTGTCTTCTCATCCCAGCTGACAGCGGAGCTCCCTCTCTCTGCTATTGTCCATTCAGCTGCCAGGCCCACGGCATCCTCTGTAGTACTGAGGCTGTTTTCCATAGAGCCTGCTGAATTATTCATCTATCTCTCAGCAAGAGATTGTTCTGCCCTGGGTCTTTTATGTGATGCTAATTAATAACACGACTTCTAGTATGAAAAGGTCACTGTTCAGGTCCTGGCCTTATTTATGACATCTTTTTATGTCTGAACAGACCATCATTTTATGTCCATTACCTAGTTTTGAGAATTATTAAAAGATGTGGTCTCATGTTTAAGTGGCTTGCCATGTAGTTGTGTCTGGGGAAGGACACGTCTGGATTTGCTCTAAAGGAATGTAACACGCACATCTTGCCTCGAGCAGAATGCAGCAAAATAACACAGGTTTCCCAAAAGCTCTGCATCGTTACCAGCTGTGACAGCGTGTGGTGGGTAATATTTTCACCTTGTGAGTCTGTGTTTGAGTCATCATGGCAAAATGTGCTCTTGGAGACACCTACTGCAGTAGGAAGCCCACAGAAGAGGTTTAGAGTGCTGTCTGTCTGTCACCGTGACAGTGTCGCTGTGAGTCTGTTTAATCACTTACAGTCGTGTCTAACCTAAAAGTAAACAGTTTTGATAAGGGACAACTGTTAGTCATCTCTCTGAATGATGAGGTGATTCTGTGTTCACAGGAGCTGATGTGACCTTTGAGAATGACCTCTCCACATCCCCTTCTCTGCCATTCCTTGGGTGAGTCATGCAGCCAACATATTGATGTTCAATCATTTAGATTTATGAGTTTGAATTCCTCCTGACATACGTACCTTCAGTACAGTTTCTGGTAGCCCAGATTAATCATTAGCCTCTGTGACATCCTTTACTAAGACATGACATTATAACAGATTTGGACTTTTATCTGTTTGATTGATTAATTAGCAGTCACAGTCAGCTCCTCTAATCCCATTAAAAACATCATGATTCCCCCAAAAGTATGTTCAAAAAAAGAAAAGAGTGTGGAGAGTGAAGAGTGCTAGTGCCAGGCAGCAGTCTCTTCTTTTCATTACAACTTGTGCTGTTGGAAAATAATACCAGTTCAAAGTTCAAAGTTCAAAGTTAGCTTTATTGTCAATTCCACTATATGTACCGAACATACAGAGGAGTTGAAAAGACGTTTCTCTCCAGTCCAACATATAAACATATAAAGTGAATACAGTGCAAATAGATAAAAAAACATTTAGACAACATATATATTAAGAAAAAAACTATCAATCTGTATTTAGCAGCAGTCAGACATAGGGAGTCTTAAAGAGAGGAGGGAGAGAGTTCAGCTTCCTAACAACCTGGTGGACGAAGCTGTTTGAGAGTCTGGTGGTGCGAGCACGGAGGCTCCGGTATCTTCTCCCAGAGGGCAGGAGGCTGAAGAGACTGTGTGAGGGGTGGCTGGGGTCTCGCACAATCATGGTCACTTTGCGGGTTAGGCGGATGTCATACATGTCCTGCAGGGAGGGGAGTGAGGCACCAATGATCCTTCCAGCTGTGTTCACTATGCGCTGCAGGGCTTTCCTGTTGTAGTCAGTGCAGCTTCCGCCCCACACAGAGATACAGTTTGTCAGGATGCTCTCAATGGTGCCTCGGTAAAAGGTGCACATGATGGGTGGTGGTGTTCTTGCCTTCTTCAGTTTGCGGAGAAAGTAGAGGCGCCTGTGGGCTTTCTTTGCCAGTGATGTTGTGTTGGCTGTCCACGAGAGGTCCTCACTGATGTCCACCCCCAGGAATTTGGTGCTGCTCACTCTCTCTATATCAGCACCATTGACGGTCAGTGGTGGGTGTTGAGTGTGGCCTCTCCGGAAGTCAACAACAATCTCCTTGCTCTTGCTGTTATTCAGAAGGAGGTTGTTGTCAATGTGTATGTTATGGGAAATGAAAATTGTCTTTTCATCAAGTGGTGCTGATGAATTGATGAATTGATGAACTGATGAATTGATGAATTGATGGTAAGTTCATTAGACCTCATTTCATTACCGTGTGCTGTCCACAGTATAACATTGAATTCATGCATCAGGTGCAGGTGAACATAGATTTCCAGATATTTTTGTCATACTGTGAATTAAAGGACTACTCCAACTATTTATTATTGGAGAGAAATGTTCACTTTTAATCTTTAGTACGGGTCAAGTTTTAAAAATCCTCGATCCTACGTTTCTTATACAACTTAATGGTGTCTCTCATTAGACTCTTCCTGTTATTCAAAATCCATGGCCACAATTTGTAACAGGAAATCTTTGTGATTTCTCAGAAAATGTCTCAAGTCAAAGCAGAGATAAGCCTAATGCCATCATCAGAGGAGAAGTACTCTGACAAATGAGATTTCATCATGAACCCACCGTATTTACATCTTAATGTTTCACAATGGCACTTCCTCTGCCAACACATCCTGCAACAAGGGAAACTCATTTTGACAAAAATATCAGATCTAAACTGAACTTGTGCCTACATGCTCACAGAATGGCCTGTTGGCAATGCCTGACTCCTAATCCCCTGCTAGTTACATTATGCTGTGTAAGCCTTATGCTTCTGAGACAACCATGACACAAAATGTCCTGTCAGCTGACCTGAGAGGCCCTCTAGCAGCAGTCACCAGGAGGACTATGCCTCCCAATGGAGCAAAGGGCTGTAAATATACTGCAGTTTAAGGGAGACTGAAGTACTCTACTGATCTTCTCAACAAGGTAAACAGCTGTTTGCTTTTTGTCAGTAGTAGTTTATCACTGACCAGAATATCTACAAGTTCATTTAAAGATAGAAGATGATTCCTGTTTTCCTACTAGAGATGTGCGGATCAGCTCTAAAGCCATTTGAAAAATGTTGTCATGCATGCAGTATTGTCAATGAAGAGAATAGCGTCGGACATTTAGGCAACAGAACTAACTGTAGGTAACATAACGAAGGAAACACAACTATAATGAGTGAGGTTAGGCTGCTGTTCCTAGTGCGTAAATGCAAACAGCAGCTCTCACAGCTTGTGAGACAGCAGCTCTGCTCTCTGCTATTTTCACAGTTTAGAGAATGTACTTCATTTATTATGTATTATTTGCAACTTTTTCACTAGTAATCGAAATGTTAATTTTTGTGACCCAATCTGCGGTTTAGCGACGGTGCCTCTGGATATAACTGCAATCCGACACATCTCTATCTCCCACACTTTGTGCAGTGTGTACAGTTGTTCTCAGCTAAATCACTACCTGGCCCCAACTTAGATGTAGGATGAAGTGAATAAACACAAACTAAGCCCGATGGACCCAATACCGGGGTCCACCTGTGACCTGTGGGGTCCGCCCATCTGTGGATAACTCATAGAGGCCTGTGGGCCCTTCCACTCTCCATTGATCTGCCTGTATAGCATAGAGCTCTTCACTCATATGAATATTGATCAATATTCATTGTGTTTATTACTATTTCAATATTTTGGGGAGATTTATGTTTTTTGTGACATGACTGTATGGAAATGAAGAGTATTTTGAAGTAAAACTCCGAGTAAGTTGTAAGCACGATTTGTTTCTCTTCAGCACCAGCCTATATTTAAGAGAAAGGTGAAACGACCACAAACTAATGCCATGAATGTGGGGCTCTTGAGGGCCTATGGGGGTCTTGAGCCCTGAGGGAATTGCCTGCTTTGTCCAGTTGGTAACTCAGCCTTGTTGTTGCTTGGGTGTGTGTGTGTCTAAGTTGTGGTGCAGATGAGGAATGACTGGTGAAGGGTAAGTGCTTAAACGCCATATGTTGAGAGTGTAATCTCTCCAGCACTAACAGCTCTCCTGGGTTGTAGCATAACAGTGACTAATCCTCTGTTTCCCATGCTGCTGCTCAGTGGAGCACTGGTCAACAATCTGCTCAACATGTTGCATTATCTTACAATGAATGAGGTTGTTGGTCTGGCCTCTTCCTTCAGGCTAGTCTGCCTGCTGACAGAGTTGAACCCGGAGTTACTGGGATGACTACAGAGGCACATGGAGTCAGTTGGATGAGGTGCGGTAACACCTGCTTAGGAAGTTTACTGCTCTGCAGGTAAGTGGAAATAGATGGCAAAGTACAAACAGTAGCCAGTTTATAGTATAAAGGCAATTCCCATTTTATTAAAATAATATTGAAGACTTTGTTAAGTGGCTAACATACTAAAGCTATCGCATTAAAAGCTTCTATTGCCCTGGTAGCTGAGTGTTTACACCGCATACCACAGAACTGTAATGTCGGCAGTTCGCTTCCAGTTTGGGACCCTTAAGTTAAATATATCAATCTGGTGCACTTTGAAATGAAGTGGCTAGATCTATGAAGAGCTTTGTGCTCTTGTAAATCATGTTGTGCTCTTGTTTTAGCAGTGGTGATGGTCCGACACGTGACTGATGATTGTAAAATGTATTGATAAACTCACAAACAACGTAAGAGCTTGTGCCTCTTCGGCGGGGGGGGGTGCTCATACGTTAACCGTTTACGCACAGTGCTACTTCCTCTTTTTTTTTTTTTTAGAGATTAAACCCACAGAGATAAGAGCATTGATTTTAAAACAAATAAAGGCATGTTTTTAAAATAAGAGCATTTTGTCTTAAAACAGGCAAAAACACAACAAATGTAAGAAACAAATTCATTGCTAAACACAAATTGGGTTACTTACAACATATAATTTACAATATTAGTTACGAGTTAGACTACTTAGATCTTAAACACAATATAAATCAACTAATTAACTATGATATATTATTCAGTGATCTATAGCCTAATTATTATGTATATAATGTAGTTCAATTAGCTCCACTTCACCAGCTGCAACAATACAGTGATTCAACACAATAGCTATAATCCAATGATATAGGTCTACCGTAAGTGTATTATTAGAGATGGCCCATCCTTGAACACTGTTCTATCGTCTCCAGCTATGGACTAACCATGGACTTGGTAAATGGTAAATGGACTTCCATGTATATCGAGCCTTTCTAGTCTTCCCACCACTCGAAGGGCTTTACACTACATGTTAGCATTCACACACATATGACAAGACTTCACTGCACCTGACTGTTGTTCAAACAGAAATATGGTAAACAAACGAGATAGTCAGGGTCAGAGTTGCTGTTTGAAGCAGCCTAGCTGTGTCACCCTGCTTCCAGTCTCTATGCTAAGCTAGGCTAACCACATCCTGACTCCAAATCTGTATTGAACTTGCTCCATATTGAATGCACAGACATGAGATTGATATGGATAAGCTCATCTCAATCTAGCAAACAGAGCAAATAAGCTTGCTTCCCAAAATGTTTTCTATCAACATCACTCCGTGTTCCAAGTGTTAGGTGAAGGACCAAAGTCACAGGGTGAACTCTGTCCAAGTTTGTTAGTTTCACCCTAACCAGTTAGCAGCAACTGATGTGTCTGTACCAACATGATCTTCACTTGACACAGATGCTGCATTAGAGGTTGCTACAGATGCCAGTTCCCCTCTCCTCCTGTTTCCTGTCGGGCCATGTCTAGATTCCACTGTTAACGCCCCCATACATTCAATTGCAGGGTGTTACCATGAGATGGCGCTTTCTTCACAAAACCACATAAACCAACTGAGGCATATGGAACACTTAGTTTTGTTGTTTATTTATTTGCTGTAAATAATTTGCCATTGTTGAGCATCTGAGCTGCAACATAGTGGCTGGCTAAGTAATACTCTTCCATGCCAGTGGGTGGCAGTAGGTAGCGCAATAATGACCGTGTTCATTTAAGACAGTAGAACTAAATGATGCGTGGGAGAGGTTGTGGTGACAAGACGAACAGCAATGGAGAAATATTTGAAAAGGAAAAATGCAGACTCTGATCTGGGCCCTGGACAACAAAACTAAAAACAGAGAGACTGAGAGCTGTTGAGGAAGAGCTTCATGTGAGCCTTTCAGTTTCTGCCAGGATGTCAGCTTTGTGTTCATCTAAACAGGCCCAGGTTTCACACTGAGTGAGGATCAACACATTGAGAGACTTAAAGTGTCAGCATATATGCTGTATTATGCTGCAATGTGTCATTTTGTAACTTTTTTGGTTGTTGGTGTGCCGCGGAATAATGACTCATTTTACTTTTGGTACTTTAGATATATTTTGATGCTAATACTTTGGTACTTTTACTTAAGTAATATTTTGAATGCAGGCCTTATTTACAGTATTTGACAATGTAGTGTTGCTAACTCTACTTTTACTCTTTTAAAAGAAGATTGAAATACTTCTTCTACAGCTGCTGATTTTCCATTTCACCTTTATGACTTTTAAGTACATCAAAAAAAAACTTGTCTGACAGTATCTCATATAAGCTTGTATGTTGGCTTGTGTATTGGCTTGTTCCAGCTCTTCATTGAAGTCAGGATGTTAACACTAAGGGAAATATTCAAACCAAGTACTTAATGTTTATGGCACTATTCTATATTCAATATTCAATACTCTGTTTGTCTCTCCCGTCCTGAAGCTGTCCATGGGTTTGACTGGTTTGTCTCTGTTACATAAAACAGATATACTCGGGGGGGCAGGGAGACTTGTGGATGACACACCGATGGCCCATTAAGTGCAGACAAAAGGTGTTGCTGTAGGAGCAGTAAATAGGTTGATTTAAGAGTTACAGAAACAGCTTACAACAACTTGTGCATCTGTGTTGATCTCATTCAATGTTGTCACCATTATTATAGCCATTCTTTATAGATGTTGCAAGATAGCTACATTATTTAGGAAGAATTCTTAGTCCCGCCTATGAAGGTTGATGGTGTTTCCAATTAGGCCAAACAGCTGTCAGTGAGCAGACCTATTGAAATCATAGAACAAACTGGTCATGTGGAGGGTTTCTCTCTTTCATTTTATTGTGACTGTGGACACACTTTGTTACTTTTTGTTACTTTCTAACAAGCACTTTATTCTTACAGCAAAGAAGTCTTGGATTTACTTCTGGACACTGCCTGGAAAGTCTAAATCTAAATGAGGTGTTTTTAGCTGAACACCTGTGCTCATCTCCAGTAACTACAGTGAAACAGTCTGGTATTAAGTACTAAATCACCTGCTTCTTTCCTCAGTGTCTATATCGAATGGGGCGTCACACATAGAAGAAGATGCAGATGAAGAGGAGCAGGGGGAGGAGTTTGAGTTCGATGACATTGGACCTCCAGAGAGGAGTTCCGGCTCCTTGATGAAGAGTGATTGGACCACAGACACAGCAGTGTCAAACCTTTACACCAAGACAAACACAGCCCAGGAGACAGCAAGGCAGGGCATGAATGGAGCAACCATTACTATGCAGGAGGGCCAACACCCCTCAGTGTGCCAGCAGCACTGCCTAGGTGAACATAGCAAGTACACAATAGGTATGGATGTATTGAAATAAGGGTTTTATGCTTTTAGATGACATTGTCATTTTCTCTTTTTGCCAGATATGGAGGTCAGGGAGTCACCAGAAGGGTAAGTTATGATTGAATAAATTATAGCCTGTTACATATGCGAGAGGACACATTTAACTGACTACATTCAAATCTTTAAGCCAAACATTAGCAGACCAATAATCTCTGGAATTTCATTTTTTTAATCAGTGTTGTGTGTAATATCTAGGGCCATGCAAAGAAAAACACATTTTGAACATTTAGAATGTAGAATTTCATGTAAGTAGACTTGAAGAAAAGAACAAACAGTATGAAAGCAGGTGACAGTAAAATGCATATCTGGAGGAGACTGACCAGTATGACCATTGGAATCAGTTCATATGAAATGAGTCAATGTTCTGAATATGATGCAGTCTGACCACATAGTTCTGATACCTGTCAGGTTTGCCACCAAAACCACATGCCAGTTAAACTCCAGTGAACTGGTATGTGGCAAAAAAACTAGATTGATTTACAATGCAATAAACACATTATCTAATTTAGAATTCGAAGAAAACTTCTATATAAATAGAAATCATCAGACTTCATCTTACCTCATACTTTCTTGTGTTATGACATTTACTACCATAGAGGTCATGTTGTGGGTGTCACCAGTCTGTGTCTCTATTAAACGTAAGTTTCCAGCTGAACATGAAAGTTCATTCTGGAACCTTGAAAAACAGGAAAAGTTTATTAAGATCCACTGACTATCTTTATTCCAGAGGTTTAAAACCACATTGCATGATCTTCAGCAACGAATGTAGACTGTCTCAACAGATGTGTCTCTTTTATACGACCACCTCGGGTTCCAAAGTTCTTTGGTCACTGTTGAGTAAGTAAGTGGACCTTCAGTTGAGTTTTTTTTTGGCAACCAGGCTTTTATCTATTTAGAGGTATTGGAGTGCAGTTCATCCCCAAAATGGGAGAGAAATCCCCTCATGGACTGATGAAGCATGTCTTGTGATACTTAGGAAATGTTTTTTGACCTGCTATGACTAAATGCAGATTAATATGCTTGTTGCAGGCGTTCCACTTCCTCTGATCTGGGAGTGACTGGAGAGTCAGAGAGTTTCTGGAAAGCGAGCAGTATTTATGAAGGTAAGAAATAAGAGGACCATCAGTATCTGATGAGACCCTCACTGGAGCTCTGGTTCCAGCTCACAGCTGGTCTGTGTCCATATGCTCACCAAAGTGAGGATGTTTTTCTGTTTGATTGCATCCGGACAGCACAGGCATCACTTCGAGCCAAGGACTGGCTCAGTGTGGTCTCAGAGCTCACAGTGCGATTACACAAAGGTACACAACTGCCTGTAGTATGAGCTCTAGTAGCTAGCTTGTAGCAAAGGTACGAGGCTATGTTTCAGTGAGGCTCCATCCTTTTATTTGATACATGTAAATCAATGCCCTGTTGAGTTGGAATAGAGAGCCCAAGTCCTGTGCATACAGTCATTACTTCCAGCTTCACCTAGCTGTTAGCATTAGGAATAGCTAGCTGTCCTCTGTTCCATACCCCTGTACTGTATGAGTACTGTGTATGTGTGTGTTCACCCACAAACACAGACCAATCTTTCTATCATCTGAGTGGTAGTTTACCATGAGTTCAGTCAGTAGCACATATGCAGTAGTACTTGTGAGAATATTGAAGTAGTGTGTGTGTGGTTGTGCAGCAAGTTATGTTAATTGTGTTATGCCAGTCTCTACAGGTCACAGTCATGCATATAAGAAACCTGTTCCTCAGAAGTTGTTCATTTAAATTAGTATCTCTCCTGTAGGCAGTGAACCTTTTATCAGAGAAGTATACAAGTCTTTGTAGAAATCACATGCTCACAGGTGTGCCTCCTGTGAGTCCGTTGGGTGCTCTGTTTAAGACAAGCATAGACCAACTTGGATTGTGACACTCCAAAACACATGGCCTCAGTTTACCATTTCATTTGTTACGCTGACACATTTTTAAAAAGTCGCTTTTAATCTGAACACCTCACGAGGGGAATTGTCCCTCTTCGATGGATAAAAGCAATTATATCCCCAGTGTGTGGGGGAGGGGCTGACTTCTGTTAATACGATGAACGATGAAGTAATATAATTTGGCCCTTTTCATCAAAAGTATCCAGACATACGTATATTGTACCATGACATTACACTTTGAATCCAAACACAGTGTAAGCTCCTGCTTAACAAAGACTAATTAACCCAAACATATTTTGTGTGCAAGGTAAGTTTAAGGGAGCAAGCAACATGTGTGTGAAGCTGTCTGGAGTCAAAGCCTTAACACCAACATATGTTTCTACCATGGGGAAGGATCAGCATATCGATCCCATTCCATCATAAACTGAAGCCATATCATTGAGATTAAACATATCAGGAGTATGTATATGACAGATTGCTCCATACTGAAGTAATCAGCACTATAATATGTTGCATCACAGTCAGGAATACAGTCAGTCATGTAGTGATGTATTACACATCATAGGGAGGGCAGAATCACCTGTACTATAGTGGATCACATGATGAATCATGTTGAGTTCATCATGACATAATCTACATTTCATCAGCACATCAACCACAAAACTGTTCTGCTTTTGTTTTGATGATTAGCAGTTGTTAATGAAACAGCTGTAGGTGTTTTCACGATTAAAACACATCTGCCATTCCAGCTGAGCCATATATGCTCTGATGAAGGTCCTTTAGACCGGAGGCCCGTCTGTCTCCAATCTATCTTTAAGGTGAGGTCATAAAGGTCCTCAACAGTGCTGAAATCAAACTCTAGATACAGGGGTCTTCAACGTTTTTCAGGCCAAGGACCCCCAAACTGATAGAGAGATGGAGCAGGGACCCCGATTATATATATTGTATAAAATTGTGTTTTATATTAAACTGGGCCTAGTGCCATGTATAAACATACATCTTTATTGTGCATTCAATACTAAGCTATTCAAATAATACACAGGTTAATTTATTCATGTCTTTATTTTAAACATGTGCAAGGTACAGTGAGTAGGGTGGCCGTGCCACTGCCATTTATAAACATACCTTGTCAGCTGATACCAATGTCAATATCAACATTGTCTGTCGCATGATAATCATGCATACAAGCTATTCAAATTGATGTTTTCATTTTAAATATAAATGTGGAAACAAAAATGGGTGATGGCCTATTAGTGCCACTGCCATGCATAAACATACCTGTTATCTTTCATACAATACTGAACTATTAAAATAATGGACAGATTCATGTTTAGAGAATTGTTTTTTCTTTTCTTTTTTTAAATTGTCTTATCAACCAAAACATTTCGCGGTCCCCCTGCAGTACCTCGACCCCCTGTTGAAGACCTCTGCTCTAGAACAGTGGTTCTCAACTGGTCTGGCTGCGGGACCCACCATCACCCCTTAATGACAAGCCGCGACCCACGACCCAAATTTCTATATTCAAGAAGTCTAGTAGTAACAACGTCCCTGTGTAGTCAACAACTGTCAAATCAAATAAAGAAAGTACACATCAATTATATTTTAAAAATTATTATTCTCAGTTTTCAAATTGAACTGGATGGATTATAAATAATACATAGAAATACATGAATAAATGTTCTTCTCATTTCAAGTAAAATAACGGCTGGATTAAAAAATAAATTACGTAACGAAATTCATTTTAGAAAAATTATTTTCACTGAATTGCCCTGCAGCTTTAAATTCAGGTCATTCAGGGTGAAGTGATGAATCCACAATATAATATTTTTTCTCATCTTCTAAAAAGAGAAATTAGTGTTGGAAGAATTCACCTATATGAGTCTGTCCAGTTAGAGTCTAATGACTCTGGTCTCTCTGGTCATTTTCTCTTTTGGAAATCGTCCTATGATTTGACTTTCACAACTCACACTACAGTCCTGCTCTGCTGTCTATCTCCTCGTCTCTCCCCCCTGTGTCACGGTGTGTGTACATCTCACTGAGTCAGGAAACTTGTCAGAATACCCATATTTGATTGGCTGAGCTGCATCACGTGATGTGATTCACACCGCACTGGTCGGTGTTTTTCCTGCACCGCTGAACAAGTGCCTTAAATGCTGGAATAATTCCGCTGCATAAAAAATGCCCTTCAAAATAAAATCACGTTTTTTTTTTTGTTTTGTTTTTTGTCAGCCAAAGGCCCGCGACCCACTGAAAACAGGTCCGCGACCCACTTTTGGGTCGCGACCCACTAGTTGAGAATCACTGCTCTAGAACACACACAAACGCTTAGCCCATAGTCCTTGAAGGGTTTCCAGGGATCAGGTCAAAATAACAGTTACTAATTAGTTTCACAGGAATTAAATATTAGTGAGAGAATATGTAACCATGACTGTTGTAATCACTCTAACCACTGTTATCTCAGTGTCATGTATTCAGTACCAAACAAAATACATAAGAGGTTCTTAAAGACAGGTTCAAAGGGACATTTATTCTCCATGTTATTTTAATCTCATAATATTCCGACTTAATTACCCTACAAGTGCACGTTTACTGTATTTACTCCTACTGTTGAAATCAATGATAATCAATGGCGACTGAATCTTAAATACACACTGCTGCATGCTTTAGACAGCATTGAACAAAATGTAGTGTATGTGATATTAAAAAAAGGATTCTTTAACACTGTGGTACTTGAACCAGTGGTCTCATCGTTTTGTAGAAAATCCTTCTTTAATGGCAGAAGGCGGTCAGGACGAGTCTGGCAGTGCAATAAATGGGTGCAGCCAACAGCAGGACATGGCTGAGACCAAGGTGTCCTCTTTAGTCAGCCCACAGACTGAACATCACACAGCTGAGGTAGACAGACCAACCAACCAGAGTCCAGTGATCTGCAGCCCAGACAGTGTGGTCAGAGACCCAGAGGTCATCTATGACGACGTGCCTCCTGAGAACCTTCAGCACCCAGTGGAAGGTGAGTCATTGGTTTTTACATCATAGCAGTGATCAGTGTGTAACTCTGACACCACCTTCAACTCTGTGGACTACACCAATTTAACAGGCTGCCTAAAACAAAAGAGGCTTGAAGGTTCTCTGTATGGGATTTAGATCATATCTTTTGCCTCCACACGGCTCTCAGTATGGGAGCGGGTGGCTAGCAGCTAGAAGCTAACAGCGCTAACAATGGCAACAGTGCTAACAGTGTTAACCTGAGGTGGAGCCAGAGGGTGGGTGCTACACTCCTGCTATGACAGTCAGTCTGGATGGCGTTATCAGATGTTTGACAGCAGTGCAGAGCCCACCGGAGGCTCTTATGCACTAAAAGCATGCATGACCGGTCCAGCTATGTAAACAAAGCACAGAGAAGCTCTGATAACAACACACACAGAGACAGAGTGACATTACTCTACTATATCTTTACATGTGCTGCTGTATTTACACTCTGAATCCTATATAGAACCTTTAAGGCAACATTATGCAACTTTTTTACCTTCTACATCATTTTGATGTTTCACTGACCTGTAACAGGGAGAATGGCACCTCTTTCATTACCACTCTCACCCTGATTGCCTGTTCTTTTTTTAATATTTGGTTTATTTGGTAGGGACAGTGCAAATTAATATAAGATTACATTACATTACATTACAGTCATTTAGCAGATGCTTTTATCCAAAGTGACTTACAATAAGTGTATTCAACATAGGTATTCAAGAGAACTGCTAGGCACCAGAAGTCATAAGTGCATCTCCTTTTTTAAACAAGCATCTAAGAGCATAAACCAGAGCAAAAGTACAGTGCAGAAACAAACTAATACCATAAGTGCAACAAACTATTATTAATACAATAAGTGCTGAGTGGAAGGCTCAGGGTAGTAGTTCTTGAAGAGGTGAGTTTTCAGCCTGCGCTAAAAGATGGGCAGTGACTCTACTATCAGTGGGGAGTTCCACCATTGTGGGGCCAGGACAGAAAACAGCCGTGACCGGGTCGATCAGCCGCAGGGACCTCTGAGCGGCGGGGCAACTGATCGCCCCGAGGCAGCAGAGCGAAGTGGTCGGGCGGGGGTGTAGGGCTTGACCATGGCCTGGAGATAGGAAGGAGCTGTTCCATTCACTGCCCTGTAGGCTAGCACCAGAGTCTTAAATTGGATGCGAGCTCTTACAGGGAGCCAGTGTAGAGAACGGAGAAGGGAAGTTGTGTGGGAGAACTTGGGGCGATTGAACACCAGGCGAGCTGCAGCTTTCTGGACAAGCTCCAGAGGTCTGATGGCCAGGGCTCCGGCAAGTAGAGAGTTGCAGTAGTCCAGGTGGGAGATAACAAGAGCCTGGATGAGCACCTGCGTCGCCTCGTCAGTGAGGAAGGGGCGAATCCTCCTGATGTTGTAGAGCAGGAATCTGCAGGAGCGTGTAACTGTTGCAATGTTTGCTGAGAATGACAGTTGGTCGTCCATGGTCACACCCAGGTTCCTCGCAGTCCGAGTTGGCGTCACCACAGTATCGTCAATGGTGATGGACAGGTCTCGGTGCGGGCAACCCTTCCCCGGGAGGAACAGTAGCTCGGTTTTGTCCAGGTTGAGCTTCAGGTGGTGTGTCGTCATCCACTTTGAGATGTCAGCCAAGCATGCAGCGGTGCGTGCCTCCACTTGAGTGTCACCGGGGGAAATGACAAGACCAGCTGGGTGTCATCGGCATAACCATGGTTAGAGAAGTCATGCGAGCGAATAACAGAACCCAGAGATGTTCCGATACGGCCCCCCTCCATGTCACCTGGTAGGATCGACCTGTCAGGCTGGATGCAAACAGGGAGAGTGCAGAGCCTGAGACGCCCATCCACTCGAGGGTGGAGAGGAGGATCTGGTGGTTCACAGTGTCAAACGCCGCAGACAGGTCCAGGAGAATCAGGACAGAAATCGTCAGGGAGAAGGGAGGAAGTAGGAGGAGGGGGTGGGGGTTGGAGGATGAAGAGAAAGTTTCGAAGAGTTTTTTAGGATTGGAAGCAGAGGTTAGGATTTTAGAGCTGAAGAAAGGAGCTTTAGCAGTAGATAGAGAGGAGGAAAAAGTGGAAAGAAGAGATTGGAAGTTAAGAAGTTCCTCCCGGAGTTTGCCTTTTCTCCATTTACACTCAGCCTCTCTTAGGATCTGTCTATCAGTACGCACTGAGTCCGACAGCCATGGGGCAGGTGGGGTTGGCCATGCAGGCCTGGAGGTGAAGGGACAGAGGTTGTCCAAAGAAGAGGAAAGGGTGCCAAGGAGAAGATCAGTAGCAGTATCAGGGGATAGGAGAGAGAAGGATTCAGGGTCAGGGAGAGCAGAGGTAACAGAAGAGGAAAGATCAGCGGGGGAGAAGGAGCGGAGATGACTATGGGTAGAAACCATGTGGGTAGGTGGCGGAAGTACGGGGGGAGAGGAGAAGGAGACGGAGTAGGACATGAAATAGTGGTCAGAGAGCTGGAGGGGAGTGACGGAGAGGTTAGCAGTAGAACAGTGTCTAGTGAAGATAAGATCCAGCTGGTTGGCGGCCTTGTGGGTAGGAGAAGAAGAGGAGTGGTAAAGGTCAACGGAGGAGAGGAAGGAAAGAAGAGGTTCTAACTTATCAGTCTGGATGTTGAAGTCGCCGAGCAGGATGAGTGCGGAGCCATCGTCATGGAAGTGCGAGACTAATGTGTCAAGCTCCTCCAGGAACTCACCGAGAGGGCCTGGAGGAGCTAGACACCACAACAGCAATGGTGAGATTGACTGGATAAGTGACATTAATAGCATGAAATTCGAAAGAGGATGGGGAGAACTGTGGAACAGAGACAAGATCACTGTAAATGTGCCAGAGTTAGCCAAGAGGCACCAAAGTCACCCTAAAAAACAGAATACTATTAAGACATGCCACACAGAGGCTCATAAAACAACACATCGGAGCAAATATATGAGGGATGATTATGTTAATAGAAACATGGATTAAAGACAAAATTATGTTGCATTGTTAGACTCTAAAAACATACAGTAGGGGGCGACTGTTGCCCAGTGGTAGAGCAGGGTCGTCCTTCAATCAGAGGATCGGCGGTTCGATCCCCGGCTCCACTAGTCCATGTCAATGTGTCCTTGGGCAAGACACTTAACCCCAAATTGCTCTTGTAGTGTTGTATGACTGTTAGGCCATGTCCACATTACTCCGTTTCCATTTGAAAATGCATATGTTTTGCTACCTTTACACTGAGCGTCCACACTATGCGGAGTTTTCAAGCACCGAAAACGGAGGAGTTTGAAAACGCTCCCAAAGACGGATAAGTTTGAAAACTCCGGGGTTGCCTCTTCGTGTGAACAGTCGAAAACGGATACATTCAGAAACGATGACGCCCACACCCGCGTTCGCTACTTGATTGGTTCTTAGCAGTCATGACATATCCTTCCCTGATTCGTCACATGCCTATCACGTGACCCTTACTCGGAAGAAAACAAACAACAACATTGAATACCGATCGACTAGCAGGTTATTTTAACGTGGACAACTGATTACAAGCGATGCTGACCTTGTTGTCTTTACTAGCAGCTGTTGTTCAGTTAAAGTCTGCATTTCTGTGGAGGAAGCAGCTGTTATTGGAGTGATTAGCGAGTGGCGTGACCAGCGGCGTTATCAGCCCTACGGAGCGGACGTCTGAAGTCATGGTTAGCAGTAAATGCTATCCAGTAGGACAGATAGCTTAGCCACTAGCAGAGCTACCTAACAGACAACAACGAGGAAACGAGTGAGAGACGTGTGTTAACCATATTTATGGACCCATAATCTAGCAAACGTTTACGTGTAAGTGTTGATTTTAAAGTAAATTTGATATGTGTGAGAGAGAGAGTGAGAGAGATAGAGAAAGATCCGCAGCGCTGTAACTAAGTCTGAAAAATAAAACTTCTAAAACTTTCCACGAACTGTGTCTGTTTGAGTTTATAGAGGGAGATTTTAGAGAAGATCTTAAGTATCAAACAACCTTTCCTTATTTTAAAGACTACTTTATTACTCTGTCGTATTTTTTTTAACTAAGCAACCAATCTACTTCCTGTTTACACCGTCACGCGCATGCCCAGTGTACGTTAATGGTCACGTGATGTACGATAATGGTCACGTGATATCCGTTTTCGAAGGTTGCGTGTGGATGCAGATAAATTCGAAAACGATGCTGAAACGCCCGTGTGGACTGAGTAGTGTGGATGTACTCTTAGTTAGTCCTGATGGGCAGGTGGCACCTTGCATGGTAATGTGTGAATGGGTGTGAATGGTGAATGATGACATGTAGAGTTAAAAAAGAGAGAAACAAGTCCATTTAGCAGACAGACCGAGAGAAGTTCAGCACAGACAGATTGAGGACAGTAAGGTGCAGTTACATTCTGTGCTGACAGAGCTGGGTACTTATTAACCATCTCTTTAAATGAGCGTATGTGTCCAGTTCTCTAATGGTGACTGGCATGGACAGACATTTTACAGAAAATGCAGACTGACTGAAAGCACTTTTCCTGATTGAGCACACATCAACAGCTAGCTATAAGAAGAAACTAGCTTGATATTGAGCCAACTAATGCAGGGTTGGAAACTGTTTATACTGTCCTGACATAAGCTAGTGATCTGTCCCAAGGCTAACGGGAGAACGACAATCTGACATCACATTTATTTTTTATTTTTATTTATTGCTGCCAATGTTATTTATGAAAGATTGCAACGTTGGTGGTGTCATCCCAGTCTCTCTCAGTTATTTAGTTTTTCCACATGTCAAAAGTCACATTTAAACATTAAGCAAACTAAACACTAGCCCTATTTCATTAAAACCAAGCCACAAAAATACCAATTCTTGCATAATATTGCTTTAAGAGTAGTGCTGGGCAACGATTAAAATATTTAATCGCGATTAATCTCATGGATTTTTTGCGATTAATCGCATTGTTATGGCAAAGTTCAATAATGAATTCAAAAGTAGTGTATTGAGCACTTTTATTTTAAAAGTACTGCTATATCAACAAAAGGACACGAGATGCAGGTAGCATGTTTTATACTTAATGTGAATATAATTCATGCTTTGTTGGCATCTTATTCTGAAAACCGGATGTTCGTCTGAAGAAACCGGATGTTGTCTCACGTTAATGTTTCCGCTAACTTTCAAAGTCCTTCGCTCGCTCCCGATCTATGCCGTTTAAATGCGTTTACCTGAATTTCAGCATATAGGTGCACTAAAATTACTGACTATAGGATGTTTGCTGGCTTTTATTGACAAGAACAGTGGGCTGTTCTTGTCATCCTCTTGTTGTTATGTATATGTATTGTGTCTTGTTTTTCAATAAAAAAAAAATAAAAAAATAAAAATAAATAAATAAAATTATAATAAATTTAAAAAATGCGTTAACGCGCGATAAAATAATTGTCGGCGTTAATTAATGAATGCGTTAACGTGAAATTAACGCGTTAACTTGCCCAGCACTATTTAAGAGACACAATTATTAACCCTTTCATGTGAAACTGAACATTATGTGTTCTTTTGGCTTCTATGTATAGATGTTGATGGCATCTACGAGGACATCCAGAGACCTGGTCACCGGGGCTCCAACGGCTGGAGCTCCAGTGAGTTTGAGAGTTATGATGAGCTGTCTGACAGTGAGACTGTTCCTCCAGCCAGTAGCAAGGTAACTCATTACAGATGTCTTTTCAATGTGAATGCTAAGACTTCCTCATAATATTCCTCTATCTGGCAGGAAATCCCAAGTCCACAAAAGCAGTATGAGTAATGCTTCCTTTTAGTAAAGCTGAGACTGTGTGTAATTATTCACTGAATGTTTCCATATGCTTCAGAATATGAGTACATCAATCATGTGTTGAAGAGTGGATGCCTGTTGTGAAACATGCTGAAGAGGTTTGGGTCATTTTAATGCCACACTAGAAATGATGTGAGATGTTTGCCCACATGCATGAGTTAATGTGCATTCAACCTGAATGAGATTCATGCTTATTTTATTTATTTAGAATAAGATAACATTACTGTCACAGCTCTGCCACCATTATCCTGTTTTTTCCATCTCTCACTCACCTAATCAGTTTATTCAGTGCACCTGCCAGTCACACCCACCTCGTCAGCTCATTACTCTCACCTGCTCACTCTGCTGCTTCCACTATTTAGACCCCAGTCACACACACACTCACTGCCAAATCATTTTTATGTCTACCCGCCCGTTTGGCTCGTCCTGTGCCTGCCCTGCCTCTTCCTGCTGGATTTCCCCCCTCGTCTCTTGTCTCGTCCGTGGATTCCCTGTTATGTTCCTGTAAGTGTTCTGTTTTCATTAAATACCTGCTTCACTCT